ACAAACCTCCGTATTAGGAACATTTGTCAGACATTTCTGAATATATATTAAACATGTCAAATAAATTATAAGTATATACAGATAAACTACCTGTAGACACGACTCTTTAGTATTTACCAGTTGAAATACCTTAGTCTTGTTGTCTGAAGAATTTATTTTTAACAAGTTTCGGTTTCTTTGGAAATTTCGCGCAAGGCAACACACGAGTTATCCGAGCCAAGAAATCCCTACTTTTTAACTGATAAATTGCTAGTCAACATCATCTACCGAAGGTAATAAATAAATGTTGACTTTCATACTGTTTGCATGCTGACACTGTCTTCATTTTTTTTTTTTTGTATTTATCTTTTTAATTGTTATTCAAAACAGAATGTTCAGGATAACACAGAAAGTTCTTGTATGTGATCTGAGATATACATTCAACATGTAAAAATATACAAAGACTAAGAGCAGGGATGTTTTCCCATGTTTGGTATATTAAATCTATCCATATGTCCCCTAGTTATTAAACAGGTATTTCCTCAGTCATAAAAATTCCCTTTAAACCACTATCAAAGACGAGGTGTTGTTTTATTTGGTGAGTGTAATCATACACTTCATTAATCCTGTTCATCACATTTATCACGAGATGTTCTTTACACGTTGTATGTTTGATGGTGTTACGAACAGACTTAGACTCGGGTATTTTATCAAATTAAGTAGACTGCAACTCAATCAACCACCTCTCGAATAAGAAATAGAAAGAAGCGATTTATTTTCCTTTAATTTTTATAATAATATTCATTAGTCTGAAATGTTTGAAATTTGTTCATTACAGTACTTAGAAACACTCAGGTATCACCATATAAAGTGCAGGTATACTTCAAAAAATTAGAATACAATATGGACAATTGAGATATCTTATTTCGCTTTCTATATACAAAATGTTTCTTCCTTGTTCCTGACCCATTTGCATATTAAATCTTTTCTTCATACAAGTTTTCCAAAGAATACGTTCGTTCGTAGAAAACATAAACTTTTTGTAGCGATTCACGAAATGTGTCTTTTAGTATAACTCATATTGGTTCTTCATATCACAGTGTTATGTATAACTCCTGTTGGTTCTTCATATCACAGTATTATGTATAACTCCTGTCGGTTCTTCATATCAGAGTATTATGTATAACTCCTGTTGGTTCTTCATATCAGAGTGTTATGTATAACTCCTGTCGGTTCTTCATACCACAGTGTTATGTATAACTCATATTGGTTCTTCATATCACAGTATTATGTATAACTCCTGTTGGTTCTTCATATCACAGTGTTATGTATAACTCATATTGGTTCTTCATACCACAGTGTTATGTATAACTCCTGTTGGTTCTTCATATCACAGTGTTATGTATAACTCCTGTCGGTTCTTCATATCACAGTATTATGTATAACTCATATTGGTTCTTCATATCACAGTGTTATGTATAACTCATATTGGTTCTTCATATCACAGTATTATGTATAACTCATATTGGTTCTTCATATCACAGTATTATGTATAACTCCTGTTGGTTCTTCATATCAGAGTGTTATGTGTAACTCCTGTCGGTTCTTCATACCACAGTCTTTTGTATAACTCATATTGGTTCTTCATATCAGAGTGTTATGTGTAACTCCTGTTGGTTCTTCATACACAGTATTATGTATAACTCCTGTTGGTTCTTCATATCATAGTGTTATGTATAACTCATATTGGTTCTTCATATCACAGTGTTATGTATAACTCCTGTCGGTTCTTCATACCACAGTGTTATGTATAACTCATGTCGGTTCTTCATATCATAGTATTATGTATAACTCATGTTGGTTCTTCATATCAGAGTGTTATGTATAACTCATGTTGGTTCTTCATATCACAGTGTTATGTATAACTCCTGTCGGTTCTTCATATCACAGTGTTATGTATAACTCATGTTTGTTCTTCATATCACAGTGTTATGTATAACTCCTGTTGGTTCTTCATACCACAGTGTTATGTATAACTCCTGTTGGTTCTTCATATCAGAGTGTTATGTATAACTCATGTTTGTTCTTCATACCACAGTGTTATGTATAACTCATATTGGTTCTTTATATCACAGTATTATGTATAACTCCTGTTGGTTCTTCATATCACAGTATTATGTATAACTCCTGTTGGTTCTTCATATCATAGTGTTATGTATAACTCGTATTGGTTCTTTATATAACAATGTTACGTATAACTTATCGATTTTTATATCACATTGTTTTGTGTAACTCGCAGAGATACTAAAATTCTGTTTCTTTATGAATTCAGAATTTCTAAACATTATTTATATTCTTAAGCTACTGTTTTAATTGGTGGACTTTCTACCCTGTTTATGTTGTGAAAAGTTTATTTTTCGAGTAAAAGTAAAATTACCTGACACTAGTAGCCACATGGTAAGTCGGTGGCAATTCTGAAGTCTTATAATCGGGTTTTGATACCCTCTGTGGGCAGAGAACAGATAGCCTATTGTGTAGCTGTAGTAATACATTTACATCTCGGATAACTATACCAATCACAGCCTTATTCTAATAGATCTTGGTCTAATCATCATATTTGGAGAGGAGACACGTGATAATAAACCGCTTACGTTTTTCACAGGTTATTTTTCAGTCGTTCAATACGTTAAAACACTATCAAGCATAAAAAAAAAACAATGATAAGTTTTTCATTTTATAAGTAAATATTTGCGTTATTAAAAACGGGTATAAAATCTTTGCATCAATTGTATGTGTCACGCATATGTCGATTTCAACTTCTTATTTCCATAGAAACAACTGTAAAGATTTGTACTATATCAAAACCACAGAACATTCTAACTTAACAGTTTGTTTGTAATTAAGCACAAAGCTACACAATGGGCTATCTGTGCTCTGCCCACCACGGGTATCGAAACCCGGATTCAAGCGTTGTAAGTCCGCAGACATACGTATGTGCCACTGGGGGGCGCTAACTTAACTGAGAAAGCACTTTAAAATAATATAGTAGTAACTAAATTCAGTGAAAAATAAATGTAGTTTGTAATTAAGCACAAATCTACACAATGGGCTATTTGTTTTTTGCCCACCACGAGTATCGAAACCCGGATTCAAGCGTTGTAAGTCCGCAGACATACGTATGTGCCACTGGGGGGCGCTAACTTAACTGAGAAAGCACTTTAAAATAATATAGTAGTAACTAAATTCAGTGAA